TGTACTGTTTTTTTGAGAATATTTTGTTTTGTTTTTAGTGCATTTTGTTTTGTTTTTAGTGTATTTTGTTTGGAAGTCGGTTTTTTTTTTTATTAAAAAGTTTATTTATTGATATTATTAACATTACGATGTTTTATTCTGTTATTCGTTTAGTTACCAGTCAATGCTGCGTCTACAGAAAATGTATGTACTGCATTACAAGATCAGCCCGCTGGACAAGAAACGCATCCCGGGCTACAAGATGGCCTTCACTTCCTACCCCGCGTTCGTGCAGGTGTGTTAGTATCACTTTTGACTATTATATACTACTAGCTTATGTCTGCGACTCCGTCCGCAAGAAAAAAAACTGAGTAGCCTAATGTGTTCTATGCCAAATTTCATCGGAATCCGTTCAGCCGTTTAGGCTACAAACTTTAACAAACATCCATTCATCCATCTAAACTTTCGCATTTATAATATTAGTATGAAGTATGATAGTATAATAGATTTATCTAAATTTCATTTTACATTGTTATTACTTTTGCCCACAAACAGTTTGTGTGGATTTTAAAAAAAAGAACAAAACTAGTCTATGTGTTCTTCCAAACTGTGCTTTACATCTGTGCTAAATTTCAATGAACCGTTTTGGAGATAAGTTGTAACATCATCATCACCAGCTCACTATACGTCCCCACCGAGGGGCTCGGAGCCTACCCTAAGTTAGGATGACTAGGCCATAGTCAACCACGCTGGCCAAGTGCGGGTTGGTCGACTTCACACATATCTTTGAATTTCTTCGTCGATATGTGCAGGTTGTATCACGATGTTTTCCTTCACCGTAAGAACGTCGGGTAAATTATGTACATATGAAAATTCAAAAAAATCGAAAATCACATTGGTACAGCGGGATTCGAACCCAAGACCTGTAGATTACAAGTCAAGTGTTGAAACCACTGAGCCACCGACGCTCTCGTTGTAACATCGATCTATCTAAATTTTCGCATTCATGATATTAGTAAGGATAATAAATTGTCCGAAATAGTTATAATGTATCATACTTAAACATATTGAGCGAAATCACAAAAGTTTTGTATAATTATCGATTTTATTTGTAAAATAATTCAAATAAAGTATTCATACATGTAAACTAAACTAATGGGTCAGATTGAATGATGTAGGTATTATGAAAAAGTGAGTATGTTTGTTTGTTAGTACATGAGTGCATTGCGGCAGTCCACAGACGACTTCTACATCATATCGTCGGGGCTGGTCGCCGGAGAGACCACCATCAGCAACAGCAACAAGACGCTCTTCGACCTCATCAACCCTTTATGCGTAAGTTTCAGAGATTCTCAAACTGTTGTGATTTTTTTTCATTAAAAAAAAATTATATACAGTTAACAAAGGCTATTTTGAAAGATTTTTATTTCCGTTGCTTATTTTTTTTAATTTATACTCAAAAAAATATCTAAAAAAAAAAAATAACTAAATTGCAACTTTCTGGGAAATAATATTTTTTTAATTTTATTTATTCTAACGTTAACGAAGCCGCAGGTTAAAACTAGTATTGTGTACAGGTAATGGAGTACATCCGCGGTATGATCGCCAACCGGCTGGCCGTCGATGGCTACCAATGGACAAGAATCTTCCGACAACACAATAGTGGCACTTATAACAACCAATGGTAAAGAACATAATTGCTTATGCAGAATTAACTCCATTTTAACATTGATGGTTCACTGATCTGTATAAATAGACAGGTTATTAATGGAATGACTGCTATTCCTGAGATTCCAATTTAAATGCGCCTATTCATGATGACAGGTATTTATTCTGTTATAGTCTTTTGAGTGAGCGTCAGTACAAATATAAATAGGCTCAAAATACTTTGTTTTTTTTTTTTTTTTTTATTAAAAGAAAGTCAATGGGTTATCTTCGGCTTCGTTTCAGTTATTTTCTTAATAATGTTGCCATTCTAACTTATATATTTTTTTAATTTTCAATATTTATCAGGTATATTGTAGATTACAATAAGTTCACACCGACCTCTAAGGGGTGTAAGGGCAAAGCGGAGAAGGGCCTACTCTGGGTGTTGGAACAGCTGCCCGGGTATACGGAGACTGCTGACTTGTGAGTGAATTTTGTACAAACCAATACACAAGTTTCAAGCATGAACAAGCCTGTAACACACGTTCGGTTATGATATCACAGTATTTATTATCTGTACTTTTTAATCGTTGTTGTATACTAATTTTTGTACAGTTTAACTGTTAAGACAGCTACGTACTCTCAATTCTAATTGACAGTTGTAACTGAATTTAAATGTAAGGAATTTTTATCTGTTGAACTGTCTTGATTGTTCATTTAAAATTGTCAGAACTAAGCATGTGTAGTAGGCTTTAAAATATCTACAATCATCAATTTTAACTAATTAATAATAAACTCGACTGATCAGTAGAAACTGCGAAGTAAAAAATTGAGGTGTCTAGCGGGCTTTTTTCTTAACTTTGTTATTTTTTTAAATCCTTATATACTGTGTTCAGTTAGTATAAAAAAACATGTGTTATGTAGAACGGAACAACTAGTGAACACGACGTATTTCCCTTCATACAATATCCCGTATTTTCCTACAATATTCAATCTGAGCGGCGGCAACGTGCGCGTCGCCACTTTCGGCGATTGGTTCGGATACAAAACAAATCCACGTGCGAATATATTAAAGGAGAAACAGGTTATGGCTTTTATTTTATGCACAGAGTAGTTAGAAAGACACATCAAATTAGAATTGAGTAAATATTAAAGTATTGCATTTGTCTTTGTGCTGTGTTTAGTTTATTTTTAACTAGCTCTCGCCCGCAACTGCGTCCGCGTGATAATAATAAAAACAAAAGAAAGTATCCTATGTGTTCTTTCATACTATCCTCTACATCTATGCCAAATTTCATCCAGATCCGTTCAGCCATTTAGGCTACAAACTCTAACAAACATCCATCCATCTAAACTTTTGCATTTATAATTTATTGTGTATGTTGTCTTTAAAATAGAAAAAGTTATTCGTAAAAAAAAAACAATTAAACGTGTATTTTTTTTATATCTGAATACAATGTTTTATCGAAAAGTACAATTAGGAGTCTTTTTTGTAGTTTATATTAGTTTAAAGATAGTTTAAAACCATGAAAAGTATGTTAAAACTTTACTTTTACACATATTTTCGTTGCAAGATTCCATCTATTTATACTGTACTAGCTTTCGTCCGCGACTGTCCGTCGGAAATTAACTAAACTTGCCCATTTTCAACGAGGTCTGTTGAGTCGTTTCTAAGATACGTTCTAACAAACACCCGTCTTAATTTTCAATTACAATATTAGTAAGATTATAATAATTGCAGTTTAACTTTTTCGTATGATACAGGCGGGTATAACAAACTTACGCGACATGTTCAATACAATGCGGTACAATGACTTCAAACACGACCCTCTGTCGCGGTGCGCGTGCGTGCCTCCCTACAGCGCATGCAACGCCATCGCCGCACGGAACGACCTCAACCCTGCCAATGGTAATGAAAACATGCATGTTTTTGATAATGGGCGTCGCTAACTGTAGATTTAGGACGGGGGAGGGGAGGAGGGCGCTTGTAGTGTGTTTTTTTTTATTACGCCGATGTTTATCATTTAGACAACACAACTATCGACTTTAATCTGTGTCAATGAAGAATTGTAATTTAATTTAATTAACCAAGAAGAAACCAAAGATTTTTTGGGTCGAACGTGGATTTGGCCAATTGACGGTCCATAGGTCGCCGGTTCAAATCCGACTCGAAGGACCAAAACAGGTTCGAGCTGTTACGCTTGCGAGCACGTTAGCTGGAATGATAAGGCGACTTCGTGATATTATTTTGTTTATAAATCATAACCTAATTGTCTCATCGACATCGTAAATAAGTCGTGCCGGCGTTATTTCTTAGGTACATTTGCTGTATACTTGTATAGTCTTTTGGTATTTTTTTTTTTTGTATTTTTAATTAGTGTTCCTATAGGTACGTTTCCATTCCGTGCGCTGGGCCACCGCAGCCACGGCGGCACAGACGCTAAGGTGACCAGTTGGCATCTCCGCAACAACTACGAGTTCGTCGCCGTCTCCGGGCCCACGTTCAACATATCGCGCGGGATACCGCCCTTCGCGTACGTTCATCTATACTAATATAAAGACGAATGATTTGTTTTTTTTTTTTGTATGAATTGAAATTACTCGATAACTATTGGGTCAATTTCAATAATTCATTCACCATTAGAAAACCACACTATCATAGGCTATATTTTTCAATTTCACGTGGACGAAGTCACGAGCAACAGCTAGTATACAATATATCCATTTCTAACTGTTAACATTCCACTATTAATTAATAACAGGTTACCAGTTAATAATCAGATTTAATAATTAATGTCTAACTGCCACATTCAGAATTTTTGAAATAGTAAGGAACTTTTGTCTTAATTCGAGAAAACTACGCTAAACGCGGGTAGCGTTTAGCGTAGTTTTCTCAATAATCAATTTGTGGGTTCGTTAAACTGTTTTGATTTTTAATTTCACACATAACTTACTCGAAAAGCATTTTTACGTGGTCCTTCGAGCAGGATGATTTATAAAAAGCAGTAACAGAAATAAATCATTTACAATAACTTATGTTAATTCAAGGTGGAGTGAATTTGACATGGGTCCCCACTTGCCGCACATAGGGCATCCGGACCTCTGGGCCTTCCAGCCTATCATACACCACTGGGAGTGGGCGTAGACCACAAACTAATTGTAAGCCAAAGGGTTAACTAAGAGATTTTTAAAACTGATATAGGTTTCAAATAATAACTTAATTTTAAAGATTTTCAATTCATCAATTATTGAAATTGTTAAAAACATGTTACTTAATGTAATATTTCTTTCACATGGAAAGAGCACTAAAATTCGCTAAATACAGTTAATGACTAATTTAAGACAATCAGAACTTCTGTTAGCGAGCTTAACAGTTATTTTTTTTGTAATTCATTAAATTTTAGCTTCAGTTTTCTTGACAATTTGTAAATCTTTTTTTTTTCTTCAAATAAAACAAATTATATATTGCATGTTTGTTTATATACATTTTTAAGATCGAATAATAAATCAATTATAAAGATACATGTTTTATTTAACACTTAACTATATGCTAATAAACATTTAAATACATTTGACATCTGGAATATTTTCAACTACCCACATTTCAATATATGACAGAAACCAAAGATTAATTACTGCCTGCATTTAAATGTTAGATTATTATAAAAAAGCAGAAATTAAGAGAAAACAATATATATTTTAAGCCAGACACAAAATAAAGATAATATAGGTAGTCCAACAAATCATCGTCCACACAATTCCTATATACATATAAAATTAAAAACTAACATACCAATCAATACTTCACTCTCACTTTATACTATATTTTTGCTAAAAGATTCAATATATTTCAGTTTTTTTTTTATTTACTAACAAATCCTGGCAATTCAGAATTTTTTTTTTATAATTTCTATGAATGTGGAATTACATTGCGTCTGAAAAGCTAGAAATAATAATCAAAATTATTTAGGGACCACTACATTTGTCTAGACTTCTTTAAAAACATTTTAAAGATCTCAAAGCTTATATAAAACCTCGACATTTTTATGACAAGAAAAATGATTTGTGTGTAATGGGTTTTATTCCTGTGATCATTTTTATACTAGAAACTAGCTAATACAATATTTTCAGAAGCCAAATCATCTATTTTGAGTATCAACATTATTATAACCTGAGATTTCACTATCAGAAAACATTTATATAAACTTCACCCCTAGACACAAGACATGTTTGTCTACCAGACCAGTGTTTTTTAGTGAAAAATTACATAAACATGTAAAATTCCCAAATCCTTTAAACATTTACTTTATCAGCTAACAAGCATAGAATCTTCAAACTTTAGAATAACCTTATTCTAGAGAGTTCAACATTAGCAGTTGCTTCAAAACCTTAGTTTGAGATGTTTCTCTGATCTCTCCCGCTAAGAACATTTCATCCACTACTGTGTACACCTGAAAATATCACAACTATGTTATCAAGCTCCGAAATATACAGTAAATTTTACTAATATGTTGGATGGATATTGGAGTTTGCTGTCTAAACTGAGGAACAGTTCTTAATGAAGTTTGGTGTAGATATAGAGCAGTCTGAAAGAATGCATGGGCTACTTGTTTTAGATTTTTAAATTCCATGCAGATAGAGCCCCAGGCCAAATCTAGTATAGTACATAAAAATTAGTAGACAACTAAAGCTTATTTATATTTTAACCCAGAGTAAAGAATTAAAACTCTTATGAATCTCTTGATAGATTTTATTTTTGTATGCCTGGGTCTATTTCATTATTTTAACTGGTACCAAAACTATACAACAATACTTATTTGCTTAAGCAATTTCAGCTCAAAGATATGGACAAAGAATATTAACACACAAATGTTTTTTTACATTGTATTAAATTACATTTAGAAATGTATTCTTATTCTTATTCTTACCTTGAAAAAGTTGAATACTAAATCTAATTCACACACATTGTGGAAGTATTCATTGAGCACCTCCACAAAGTTGTGTATAGCCTCCAGGTAACACAAGTTGTTGTCGTTCACGTCCACACAAATGCAGAAATACAGACCTGCATATCTTCTGTACACTATTTTGAAGTTACGAAACTGAAAATGAAAAAAAAGGATACATCCACTTGACATTGATTATGGGTGCGTGGAATAGCTTGACGAAGTAAATTATGTATGTCAAATTGCTAAACAAACAACTGCAGAAGAATATTTATACTAAACAATTTATGGTAAAGAATTTTTTATGATCACAAAATAGTATAGGTGTAAATATGATTTTTGTAATTAAAATTTGTATAAATCCCTACCTCAACGAAATTGGTATGTTTTGCATCTCGTACGGTAACAACTGCATGTACTTCTTCAATTAATTTCTGTTTTTCATCATCGTCAAAATTCATATACCATTTAGCAAGACGAGTCTTACCAGCACGGTTTTGAATAAGGATGAAACGAATCTGCAATAAGTAAACACATAGTTATATACTCTCTTTTGTATTAAAAGTTTACAGATTGTATTTTAAATAAATACCATTATTATATTATAACAAAATTCTACAAAATTTTAAGAATACGCCTCCTTTTATAATTTAATTTTTGACGTTGACGTGACGTTGACTTGAAACATAGAGAACGTATGGAATAATAAAATAGTCGACATTTTGACTATTGCAGAATTAAAAAGATTTTTTATTATAAATTCTTAAACATGATAATTATTTAATAAGTTGTTAAATTTAATACCTTTGTAATTTCGCAATGCAAAAAAAAATTAAAGATTAAAATAATTTCCGACGTAGCAACACAAATATCGAGTTGTTTTTCAATTTTCAGTGATTATCACAGAGTACTTTGTAACATACTGAAATAGAGACCAATCTTCGGCCTAAAATTGGGTAACACGAAGAAAAGCGCCATCTGTATTTCATAGTTTACAACTTTCTTTCTTTCTTGTTTTGTTTTTATTTATTTTTATTGAAATGGTAAATGGGGCAAACGAGCGTTATTTAAAATATTAATATAGGTTATATAAATATCTAAATATCTATGTTATGAAATATAGATATTTAGATATT